CAGAAGAATAGGCTATACAAAGCTCTTACAAGAAGAATGTTTAAGAAGGAACTCTTTTTGAAGCATTAAAGAAGCCTCATTACTTACATGAGATTGGAGAAAGATAAAATATGTTAATGTTAAAAGTGAACCCTCTTCTGGGTTCCCAAATTCTTTTTTTTGGTCTGCTCTGTGAATAGACAGTTGCCAAATAGTCAACTCCCTTCTTTTTCTGGTCCTGGAGAATGGAGAATGAGTTTATTGGACTCCTCAAAGAATATTTAAAACAGATGGACATTATATTTCTTATCTTAGCAACAGAAGAAATGCAAAGGTTCTTTAACTCTCTTGATTTGGTCTTGTTCTGTATTGCATTGTTTCAGATTAAAAATTGTTAGCATAATTTTAGGGTGAGATATTATATATCAAGATTACAAGTTGATTTATATATTTAAACTATTTGCCCAATTGTGGAAAGATTTGATTTGACTGAGCTTGGGACAAAGCAAAGAGGATAATCATATATGTGATGGCGAACCTATGGCACGGGTGCCACAGGTGGCACAGAGCCATATCAGTTGGCACGCGAGTATTGCCATAGCTCAGCTCCAGCGCGCATGTGTGCGCCGGCCAGCTGGTTTTGGGGCCTTTCAGTCCCACCAGAAGTTGGGAAATGGGCTGTTTCCAGCCTCCAGGGGGGTGGGAAAGGCCATTTTCACCCTCCCCAGGCTCTTAAAAAGCCTCTGGAGCCTGGGGAGGGTGAAAAATGGGCCTACCATGCCATCATGTGCTAAAAGCAGGGGGGCACACAGGGGCGGGGCACACTGAATTATGGGTGTGGGCACACATGTGGGTGACCTCCCACTCTCTCCCCACTTTTGGCACACGATGGTAAAAAGGTTAGCCATCAGTAATATATAACTAGAAAGAAAGTTACTCTCCTGATCTTAAGGAATAATTTATTAAATTTATATACAACCTGACTCCCAGGAATGGATCCAGGAAATGGTTTTATCTATTTTTAAGTCTTTATGCTCTGAAGAAGAGAAGATGATGTTATCTTGGTATATGATCCAAATTTAACGTTAGGCTCAATAACTGAATTCTATAAAGGTTTTTACATTGGATCTTTTATTACATTTGTGGGGGTTATGTTTACTTCATTTCACCACTATAAATATATATATTATCTTTATCCAATTGTAGATTTTTGTATGTCACTAGCAATGTAATTATTTAAATAAATATTTTATCCCTCCTATTCACCCCCACTCCCTTTCTTGTCTTCCAAAAATGTTTGCTGGCTTTTTCTGATAACAGAGCAATTAAATTAGGCCATGCCCATCAAAGCTTCAGGTGAGATAGAGATGTGTGGACATACTGAATTTAATAGAACATATCTATGTTCTCAAGGAAATTATTACATATACACTTCTGAATGATGGCTTTCAATTATATTTCACAACATTTTCATAACATTTATTACTTGTATGTTTGTTGTTCTAATGCCACAACTTACAATATTGCATTTTCAGTTTATTACAAAATATGTTGTATTTCAGGACACAGCTTCATTTTGTTACTTTTCCCAATTTGCCCCAAAGGCATTTATTCTTCATTTTTCTGGTTTTCATTTCTACCACTTTCCTTTTTACCATATCTTCCCATCAAATAATTTAATGACTTTGTCCATGCCAAAATAGAAGGCTGGTTTTAGAAAATCAATGTAATTTAGTCTTCCTATGTTGATGTTAAATGGCATAATAACCTATCAGCTTGTATTGGAATTTTTTTTTTTTAATTTGATTTATATGCCGCCCTTCTCCTGAGACTCAGGGCGGCTTACAATGTGCTCAGCAATATTAATAAGGAAACGGAAATCACCATTAGTTAACCATGCCAATGTACCTCAGTCTGTGACTAAAACAATATAATGCTTTCTTATATCTAGCAAGATTTGGATGCCCTTGGTTGGCTTCACACAGGGTGCTAAATGATTGGTTTGGGCTTCAATGTAATAATATGCAATTTTCTTGGGTTGAGCACTCTTAAACTGGCATCCTGGGACTGCATTACGAAAGGTAATTGCTTATGGGAACAATTTTAATGTGGGCAAGAATTAAAAGGAAATATTATTGACAATTGGTCGAGGAATTTCAGCTGGCAGGGTCCAGGAGAAAAGGCATTTCTGCCATGGCTCCTGCCCTTTGAAACTTTGTGCCCCCTGAGGTCAGATCTTCACCCATCCTTCACCCAACTTTCTGCAAGAGCTGAAGATCTGACTCTCTCTGATGGCCTGAGACTCCAAGGGAGGTGCATCACTTTGGAGGTGGCTATTGGATTAAGAAAATATCCCACCTTTATCTGTATGTATCTTGCTCCCTTCATCCCTATTTTTTAATTTTAAATTTGTTGTTGTTGTTATTATTATTTTTACTATTTATTGGCTTTGAATGTTTATAAACTGGCCAGTTGCCTCTAGACGAGGCAGGTAGCATGCAAGTTAAATAAATAAATAAATAAATAAATAAATACATACATACATACATACATACATACATTCATCAAAATGTTAAGTATAGTATGTACATCTTTCTATGAGCACATTCTTACAGTAATTCCCATCTTCAGGTGACTCCCAGGTTTAAATTAAGAAATACACGTCAAAAATCAACCATATTTTCTCTCTCCCTCAAGCACAGGCATTAAGCTCTAAGTAGGGAATGGTTGAGAACCTGCAATGCAATCGTTGGTGCTCCGGAAAAAACAATAACGTGTAGTTCATGAATGTCTTTTTAGGAAATTTCAGGGCACCTGGGATGATCTCATTGCAGCTACACCAGAAGCAATTAGATAGTTAACTTTCTTAGACATTGAATTGTAACATATAACCCATTGCTATTCTATGGCTCCATATTTATTTATTTATTTATTTATTTTATTCAGTTTATATCCCGCCCTTCTCCAAGTGGACTCAGGGCGGTGCACAGCCAGAACTAAAACACATATCAATACAAAATTTAAAATTATTAAAAGAATTAAATAACTGTGGCCCAAAAATTTAAAACATTGAAAACTAAAACCCATTTGACAATTTAAAAAGCTAAAAAACTAAAAAAAAAAAAAAAGGGGGGGGGGGGTTTCACGCCAGCCCTGCTTGATGGAAAAGGAAAGTTTTTAGGGCACGGCGAAAAACCCAGAGATCCGATATCCTTCATATCTCCGGGGACAAATCGTTCCAGAGGGCAGGAGCTGCCCCAGAGAAGGCCCTCCCCCTGGGGGTCGCCAGCCGACATTGCCTGGCTGATGGCACCCTGAGGAGTCCCTCTCTGTGGGAGCATACTGGTCGGTGGGAGGTTATTGGCGGCAGAAGGCGGTCCCACAAATACCCATATTATGGTTTTATCTTAATCTGTGTGTGTGTGCTGATGTATCAGTGACTGTATGACCATTATAGATGCCATACACTAAATAAAATAAGTAAAAATGTACAGGCATTCAAGTTTTTCATATGCAGCATCAGCATCAGGGATTCTTATAGGCAGGCAACAGAATCTGCAAGGATATAAGGCCCTCACTTCAGGTAACAGAAATTAAGTGAAAGAGCATGTAATTAATTGCTGTATTTTTCCTGACAGGAAGAAGTGCTTGTATGATTTTATCCTGATGTGCCAAAGTAATCTAGGCAGCTTTGATCTACAGTAATGGGCAGTTTTTTAATGAGGATGGGTTACATGCAGATTTAACCTTCATTCATTTCACAGTGAGACTTTGCGACAGCCTCCAATTTTAGCCTAACCTGTACCTGCAGAGTTGTGGGGGTAAAATTGTCGCTTTGTGAGCCACATTTTACTCTAGTATGATGCACATTTATGGCTATTTGAGTTTACTCTATTATGTAAAATAGGTTAATTCAGAAAATTATTTATTTTTTCCCTCACCTTTGGTCAGTACAAGGCAGCATCCGCACTCCCAGCTTCTGAATTATTCCCAACAAACCTGTCAAGTGGGTTGAGCAGAGAGCAAGTGACAGCTTCTAAGTCACCCAGGGTGCTTCTTAGGGGAGGGAGGCTTAAACTTACTTCCCCCCCTTCCCATGCTCTTTAAGACTTAACTGTTATGCCCCATCACCTCCTGGTTGGGGTACACAGAGCCCATACAGCTGTGTGTCAGTTTGACGTAATGGCTAAGATGCTGGGCAAGAAATGGGAGAGATGAGTTTGGGTCCTTTCCTATGCCCAAAAACCACTTTGGGCTAGTCTCTCACAAAATCTACCTCTCAGGGTTGTTGTGGGGATAATAGGAGGCGGGAACACTAAGTACTGTATATATGTGGCCTTGACCTGACTCAAAATCAAGGCAGGAGAAAAATAAATTAATAAATAGGTCTCCAGAGGTCTTGGGATAAAGCAATTCAGGAGACACTAAAGAAAGAAGAATCCAACTCTGTGCACGCTTATTTTCAGAGACTGCTTACTTGCGAGGAGTAGTTACTGCAAACTGCTAAAAAGCCCACGGGTATTTCGTCCACCCCTCTCTTTCTATTCCTGCTTCTTCCTATGGGTATGGGGACGTGCCGATGGCTGAGACTGGTCTGATGCCCCACGCTTAGCCACAGTGGGTTTTGGTGCAGCGTTTACTTGAACCAAGCCGCCGCGACTGCAAGCAAGCAATGCCTTATTGCTCGGCATTGCGGAATGCAATCAATTGTGGCCGATTCCGACGGCGTTGCACTCAACCCCGGGCCAGCACCGTCTGCACTGGCTTCTTAAGTCGGGCAGCGTTTGCACCAGGTTTCGCGCTACGTTCCCTCCGCATAAAGTTAAAACAAAGCGGAAGGCAAGCGGCGGGGCAGGTTCGGCTCGGCCTCCTCCTTCCACCGGGCTCCCCCGCAATCGCTTCCCTTTTCCCGCCTAAACTCGCTCGCGCCCTGCCTCCCTCCTCCATTTGTCCCAAGCCGCTGCCGGCGCGAACATTTCCTGCCGGCGGGGCTCCCGCTGCCCTCCGCTTCGCTCCTCCCAGCTGGCCCGCCTGCCCGCCCGCCCGGGCACCGCAGCAGCCTGCGCCTCCCCCGCCCCGGCTCCTCTCGGCGTCACCCTCCTGCCTGGAAGATGGCGCTGGGCGGCCAGGTTGGTGTGCCTGGGAACGGGGGTGGGTGGGCGTTGGGCGCCTTAGGCGGGCCGTTGGGCGGATAGGCCGGGAGGAGAGGCAGGGCGGGAAGGGGTGGAAAGGCGGCCGGGGAACGGGGCGTTGGGAAGGGTAGGTAGCGCATTCCTCCTGGGCAGGCAGTGCCTGCAGGGGGGCTGTGTTTGGAGGGGAGGCGAGAAGTGGCTCTCCCTCCTCCCCGCCATCTCCACCTCCTCGCCGCTCTTCTCCCAATTGAGGCTTTGCAAAGAGGAGGGTGGAAGCAGAGGGAAGCCAGTCCTTGGGGACTGGGCGGGGGACACCCCACTTTCTCGTTTTTGAGAGGTGGCAAAATAGTGTGTGTGTGGGGGAGCTGGTGGTCACCCGAGGAGGTGCTTAGAAAAGTGATGGCTCTTTAGAAAGTGCTTGGCTTTTGGGCAGCGGTCCCAGAGGTAGAGGAGGACGTCTGCAATAGTGGCAGAGGAGAGTGGAGTTATAGAGGTTCAAAGCTACAACACCAACCCCAAAAACCTGCGTGCAAAACCCCCAGAACGGTTGCTTCAAGCCCAGGCAAGGCTTTTCGCTCTGCATCAATTGTAGAGCAGGTGGAGAATTTTGTTGTAGAAACTAGGAATGACTGAGGCAGAATGTGAGTCTATATATAGAGATGGCATGTAGGGTGAAAAAGATTTTTTTAAAAAATTTTTTAGTGTATTTGTGGAGATTCCGCTCCTGAGAGATTTCTTCATCTTAGATTATCTAGATAAAACTCCCATTTCTTAAATAATCCCTTTTTCCTTAATAAATGCAATCTCAAGGATCTATTACTGTATTCATAGCATCCATGGATGGTTATGTGTTTTTTTCTTACCCAAAATGCTGAAATAAATTGTTAAGAATTCCTAAAAAATTTTTTTTTGCCATTCTTTAGTCCCATGAACAAGACAGCATGTGTTCTTCATCTGCTATAGGAAGACGCAGACAGAACATAACCCAGAGAAGAAATATCTAAGGAATTTGTAGTCAAATTTAGACATTTTTTTCCCAAGGATTTGGATGCTAAGATAGGTGGGGAAGAAGATAAATTAATATCTGCTAGTTGATTTATGGGATGGCTAACATAAATATGGCTACATTTCAACAACCCAAGTAGGATTTGCACCACATGTATAAGTGAGAGATGTTTTGTTAGTGCTTAGCCTAGTTTTCAGATTCTTCATGACAGTTGACCACATGGCCAGGGCATGCACCAAAAAAGTAGGCTAAAATGTAGTTGATTGGTTTGTGTTACCCAGGGTGCCCATATGATCTGAGTTTGTGGAAAGAAGCATAGCAGTTAATAATTATTCTTCCATTGCCCATAGATCATCTGGTTATTTTACCTTAGCGGAAATAAAAAAAAAATCCCCTTTAAAACTCGGGTCTGATGGCTTCCTATGAGTTCTGTAAGGAAGTTTTAGTAATATAACCAGGTGTTTCTTTCAATTTTAGATAATTTTTTGAAAGAGGAATTAGATTAAATGGTTGATATTATAGGACCAAGGTGCAAAAGCTCTTTATGCTAAATAAATAAGGAAATAAGAATTTTATATGAATAATAGGGAAATTTTGCAACATATAACATATAAGCTATACAATTCAATTTCAAAAGAAACTGAAATCTTTTAGGGGGATATAACAACAAAGAACGTACAATAATATGGTTTAATAAATGTGCACACCCACTTATAAATAGGGATGTGGCGTTGTTCAAAATTAATCACATTAAAACTGATGTTAAATAGTAGCCAGTACACACTTGCCTTCAATTAAAGTGACTGATTAATCCCATATAAAGTTCAACTGTTCTTGTAGGATTTTTCTGGCATTTACTCAGTTGCCTCTTATAGCAAAAACCATGGTCTGCAAAGAATTTACAAAGCAATCTCATTGTTGGAAGGTATCAACCAGGAGAAGGGTAAAAATAAATTTCCAAGGCATTGGGTATACCATGGAACACAGTGAAGACAGTCATCAATAAGTGGAGAAAATATGGCATAACAGTGACATTATCTGGACTGGACCCTCTAAAATTGATGAAAAAAACAAGGAAACTGGACTAAGAGGCTGCAAAGAGGCCTACAGCAACATTAAAAGAGCTGCAGGAATTTCTGGCAAGTACTGTCTGTACTTACCAGAATATATTCTCTTGTATTCTTCATATATCTGGGCTATGGGATAGGTGGCAAGCCTTTCTTACAAAGAAAAACATCCAAGCTCGGTTATATTTTGCAAAAACCTATATCAAATCTGATGAAAGCTTGTGGAAAAATGTGTTATGGTCTGATGAGACCAAGATTGAATTTTTTGGCCATAATTCCAAGAAGTATGGTGCAAAAACAACATTGTGCTTCACCAATAGTACACCATACTCACAGTGGAGCATGATAGTGGCAGCATTATGCTTTTGGGCTGCTTTTCTTCAGCTAGAACTGGGACTTTAGTCAAAGTGGAAGGAATTATGAACAGTTCCAAATACCAATCAATTTTGTGCAAAATCTGCTAAAATGCTGAAGATGAAGAGGAATTTCACCTTTCAACACAAGAAAGACCTAAAGCATACAACAAAAGAATGGCTTCACCAAAAAATTAAAGTTTTTGAATGGCCCAGTCGGAGTTCACACCTGAATTCAATTGAAAATCTATGGGGTGACTTGAAGATGGCTGATCACGGGAGATGTCCTGGCAATCTGACAGATTTGAAACGCTTTTGAAAGGAAGAGTGGGCAAAGTTTCCCAAGGCAAGTTGTGCCATGCAGATAGGCTCCTACCCCAAAAAACAGAATTCTATCATAAAATCAAAATGTGTTTCAACAAAGTTTTAAGAGTGTGCACACTTATGCAACCACATTATTGTCATTTTTAATGTTATTTTATCCTAAAAAATTCAGTTTGATTTGGATGCTTGGCAACTGGCATGTATTAATCCAAGCATTGTCCCACTGTCATATAAACATCTTTTGCAACTTTCTGAGAACCATGGTCAATAGGGAAGCCAGATCCTCTTAACAATCACTAAACTAACTTCATAACCACAGCGGAGATCTTTGGTCAGGAGCAGCTTAGTAAATGTAACTTACTTTTAACGTTGTTGAAACAATTACAATTAATTAGTTTTGCCTTAATGCCTTGATGTGCTTAATTATCAATATTTACATTAATTATCAATATTTACATAAATCCTGCATTAATAATCTTTTGAGATGAGTAAACTAAATGCATTTTAACTGAATGGACATAACTGTTCTAACTATTCATTGTGTTATCCTGTGTATCAGAAACGAATGAATCAAGCCTGGGATAATGTTTGGGGAAACGCATCTTATACTTTCAATACTGTCATAGAACAGGAAATTAAGGGAAAATAAATTAAAATTAGAAGCTTGCATCCATGAGGTGAATGGCGCAGATCAAGCATATCCCTGAAAGTGTTGATTCTCTTTACTAATTTAGCCTAAATGCTTGATCTATGCCAGGGGTCTGCAACCTTAAACACTCAAAGAGCCATTTTGATCCGTTTCCCACAGAAAAGAAAACACCGGGAGCGACAAAACCCTTCCCGTGCCTGACTATTTCTTGAGTGGCCACAAAACTAGCATATGTAGTTGAATTAAACATTCTGTTTTCTTATGAAACTTTTCTTTTCTTGGATTTATCCATGGTTGGCCTACCGGGGGTTGAAAAGCTCAATAAATCACGTGCTGGCGGGTGTCGCACATTGGCGGTTGTGACACATATTTTGAGTGACGGAGCCAAAGCAGAGGGATGAAACAGCCACATGCGGCTCCAGAGCCACAGATTGCTGACCCCTGATCTATGCCATCCACTTCATGGATGGCTAAGTGGGGGAAAAACACATGTATTTCAGATTATTGAGGAAATTTAAATGCTAAATATGGTATTTTTTGCCACTGAAAAATATTGATTGTTTCATTCTTTGTCAAGGTGTATCATCTGAATGATAAATGAATAAATTAATTACATGGATTTGCATGAATATTCAAGAAAAATATATATTAAGTTTTAATGTCTGACATTTTATTCCTCCCAGCAGAGTTTAGCAGATTTAGAAGTTCTTTGTAAACAGTTATACGAGGGCACAGATTTAGCCCAGAGAATACAAGCAGAAAAAGTTCTTTTGGAGCTTATTAACAGCCCTGAATGTCTCAGTCAGTGCCAACTTTTACTGGAACAAGGAACGGTAAGCACCTTAAACTTTATTATTGATATACATATTTGTTACACTTTTTTGGCTCAAATCTCCTTCTGGGTACCAAGACTGTCTATGTATTATCAAGATACATTTGATTATCAGATTTTTCTTTTTGTTACATATTTTGTTATATTTTATAATAGCAGTAGTAAGATTGATTAGTGATGATAGACAAAGAACTCATAAGCTTTTGCAGCATTGGACCAAAGGAGGAAACAAAACAAAAATACATACCCTCAAGTGAGATTTTATTATTATCCACATTAGATTGCAGCATCTGTCATACCTTGACAAAAGTTAAGCAAGGTCAGGCTTGGCTGGTATTTGGATGGTAGATTCTAGGAAAGCCCAAAGCTGTAGACTTGGCTGGAAAATTGAGAAAATATATTGGAAGAAGGCAGTTGTATACTATTTCAATCTTGTTTTCAAAAAGAAGGTTCCATGAATATGTCCAAGTTCATGGATGTGACCTATACATCAATTAACAACTGTAGTTGAGCCCAGAATTATGGTCGTATGTCATAGGTTGTAAATTGTTTAGTTGACAACTATGTGACCATGCCTATTTTTACAGTCCTCTGTGCCGTGGTTGTTAAGTGAGTGCCATGATCATTAAACAAAACCATTTTATCCAATGAGCATTTTTTTTGCCAAAAACTGGAAATAAATGGTAAATACTGGCAAAAAAACCTGGAAGTACATGAATGTTGCAAATGGCCATAAATGCCAGTTGGTTATCAAATGCTCACAATGTGATCATGTGACTGCAGGGGAGATGTGGTTGTCCTAATTCAGGATCTGAGTCATAAGAACCTTTGGGGAGGGGGGGGCTATGGTAATTGACTGGTCGCTAAGCAACCATTCATTAAGTGAGAACTACTGCATATAATTTTGAGAAGAGATAATCTGTTGAGATTCTGGTGGATACTGTATTGACCATGTGGTAGACAAGGAACTTTACAAGTAGTCCTTGGTTACAACTGTAATTGATCCATTTAATTACAGTAATTAAGTCTTGATAGGTCATGTGACCTGACTCAATTTTATGATCTTTTTTGCAGCAGTTGTTAAACAAAGCCAGTTATTGCTATTGGGCACCAGTCCCCAATCTTTCCAGCTCCACAGACCAGGGGTGGGGGAGGGAAGGGAATGGTTTTGCAGGCACAATCTAATCCCGCACATGCACAAATGGAGCTATGCGCGCTTGCCTGCCGCTTGTGTGGCCTGGTTTCCAACAGCCCATGAACCAAGGGTTGGGGATCCCTGTTATAGAGTGGTTTTGCCAGAAACCGGAAGTAGATACCAGTTTCTGGCAAAACCATCATAAATTGTGGTCACATGACTGAGGAGTACTGCAAATGGTCGTAAATGCGGGCTGGTTGCTGAACACCCAAAATGCAGTCATGGGGGGGGGGAGAAGCTGATGTCAGAACATTAAAACTGGGTGAGAAGTAGCTTTGTGGGAAGTCCATACATCGAGGACTACCTGTATTTGTTTGGAAAAGTGACCCTCTAAAAGCTAGATGGATCATTAACATTTTATGTAGCAATTATTCCTTATGATTGTAGTGCTTGTCTTGAGCAATAATTTTCAAATAAAGCCCAGTAAGCCAAAGACTTCAAAAACAGTCGCACATGGCTTAATATTTTAAAAGAATGTCTCAGTTTTATGTGTACCCAAGATGTTAATTCTGCATACCATTTTACATGGAGATGATGTGGTTTATGTGAATGAAGTAGAAGTTCCTTTGGGTTAAGTGACAGAACGATTTTTGGTTAAAAGTGTGAATTCTAGTATTTTGTTGCTCAGTAGAGGAAAAGAGCTCAGTGCGTCTATTGAAAATATCTGTGTCAAAAACCTGCATGTATGTATGTATGTATGTATGTATGTATGTATGTATGTATGTATTCAATTAGATTCTCTCACTAGGGTAAAATAGAGCCATTTGAGGTGTTCCTTCTGTTCAACTTGCAGTTTAATCTAGTAATTGAGACACTAAACTCTGGAAAAGAATTAACCAGAGGGTATTTTGTCCTGATACTTAGCGTTCTGTTAGTTTGATATTCCCCAGTTCCCTAAACTTGGTCACATTTCTGGCTTATGTTGCTTTCCTATTCAGACTCTGATCATTTTGACTGTCTTTGTCAGGTTGCATGAAGTGAAAGAGCTACACTGATGTAATGTTACAACCAAGTACTAAGCCAAAAACGTACCAAATCTGAAATGGTGCAATTGGCCCCAATGTTAGTGCCAGGCTCTAAAAGCTCTTATAAGACTTTACGTACAAATTTTCAAGTTACACACTTTCTGCAGTATTTACAAAACTATCTGCAACTCCAACCTAGAAAGTACCAGAAGTACTGTCATTGTTAAGCAAGGCAGTTGTTAAGTGAGTTTTATGACTCTTTTTGCCACAGTTGTTCAATGAATCATTTAATCATTGAACAAATCTGGCTTCCCCCATTGACTCTGCTTGTCAGAAGCCAACTGGGAAAGTTACAAATCACATGACCATGGGACAGTGCAACTCTCCTAATTACATGCCGGTTGCCACTTGTCCAAATTTTGATCACGTAACCATGAGGATGCTACAATGATCTTCAAGTGTAAAAACTGGTTATAAGTCACTTATTTCAGTGCTGTTGTAACTTCGAACAGTCACTAAACAAATACATTGTAAGTCAAGGACTTTAAGTAAATTATAAAAATGAATTGTTATTTTAATATTATTCATACGGTGTTGGGTTCTTTGCTTATCATGAAACTAAGAATTATGTGTTAGAATAGATTTGGTTCACTAAATAGCAAAACATTAGGAAAAGAATTCCTTGTTGAAAGGTTGTTTACTTTAAAATAGAATAGAATTTGTTCTTTTTATTGGCCAAGTGTGATTGGACACACAAGGAATTTGTCTTGGTGCATATGCTCTCAGTGTACATAAAAGAAAAGATACATTCATCAAGAATCATAAGGTACAACACTTAATGATAGTCGTAGGGTACAAATGATACAAGCAATAAAATTACAGTTGTACAGTCATAAGTGGAAGGAGATAGGTGGTGGGACCGATGAGAAGATTAATAGTAGTGCAGAAGTCTTTAGTATTATCCAGTGTTACTATCATCATTTGAATTGTGTATATTTTTCTCCAGACATCCTACGCGCAACTGTTGGCGGCAACATGCCTTTCAAAACTTGTATGCAAAACCACCCCTTTACCTATTCAACAAAGAATGGACATCAGTAAGCATTGTTTATTCTTTTCAATAGTAAAATTGTCTTTATAATCTCAATGTAGATTAAAGTAATTACTAGCAATTTAAACATATAACTTTTAAAGAATTTATTATCATAGCTTCATAATCGAAAGGTGAGTCTATTTCCTATAATCTGTGATTTCTCATTTTTAGAGATGGTATATGTGTTCAATTGTTTGTTTTATGTTTTATATAAATAAGAAAATGTAAATATCCGAGCAGGAGCAGAACCACATTTGTACAAGCATCTAGTATATCTTTGCAATCAAATAGAACAGTTTGTTGACAGTAATGTGTAGTCCTTAAAATGAAAATAGTGATAGGTATCATACTTAAACTGCTTTGTAGAGTGTTACACTGATCTTGAATACAATGTTATTTATTCATGTCGAAGATTTATAAATGATCCTAAGCTTAAAACCAGAAAACAATAATGAAAATAAGAGTTGGATCTTATAACATATGTATCTGTTTTGTAATTTACCAATTAATAACAAAAAAGAATTTGGATTAGTTTCAGTTATTTTGGTGAAATCAGGTACATAATATGCTATGTAACATTTTGACTCAAGTGATTCTTTTTTGTGCATTTCTTTGTAGCTTTGTCTTCCAGTTCTATGTCCCTGATATACATTATAGCATAGGATCTCCTCAGTGGTGGGCTCCAAATTTTTTAACAACTGGTTCTCTGCCCTAATGACTGGGTGGGCGTGGTCAACTCTATGTTACTTGTCTGGGTGTTACTTGTATGGGACAGTCCTAGAGTTGGGGAGGGAATCCAGCGGTCTCTTGGGTGGGGGCGGGAGGAAAGAAAGATCCAACCTGTTTGTTTGTGTGTGTGAGAAAGGGGGGGGGGGACTGAGACTGCGTCAAGACTGGGAAAGCTGGCTGTGAGAGGAAGAGAAGCTGGGTAAGCTGGACTCAGACGCTTCCTGGATCCCCTTATCCCAGAAGCAGCAAGCTCGCACTCTCCCCTCTCTGCTAGCCCCCTTCTTCGAATGGGATTGCCCAGCAATGGAGACGGAGAGGGAGAAAGGGCAGCGTTTCTGTGTGCTCCCGTTTCTGTGTGGCACTCTCCCCTTAATGCCATCTCTGCTGCTGGGTGATCCCGTGTGAAGAAGAGGGCTAGCAGAGAGGGGAAGAGTGCAAGGTTGCTGCTTCTGGGAGGAGGGGATCTTGGATACGTCTGGATCTGGCTCACCTGGCTTCTCTTCCTCTCGCAGCGAGCTTTTTTGGGCTGTTTTTTGGGCCGATTTTTGCCGGAAAAATGGCCTGAAAACGGCCCAAAAAACAGGCGGGGGCAGGACCAACCAGTGGTCCAATTTGCCAGATCTCCGAACCACACAGTATCTGAACAACCGGTTCGGGCGAACCGGTCTGAACAGGCAGCAGCCCACCTCTGAGTTTCCTGCTTGTGCAGGGGGTTGGACTAGATAACCTACAAGGTCCCTTCTAACTCTGTAACACTGTATTCTGTATTATAATTTATATTCTCTTCTTCTCTACATATTAATACTATTGTTGTTCACAGACTGAATGTGAATGCTTCTCACTATAAAATTTAGCTCTGGAATATGGAAGGGAAACATTTCACTTCAGTGCTGAGGCATGCTTGTACAATTCTGCATCCTACTTGAATGAATTTTATAATTGCTTTTGCTTAATCACATACTTATATTAACTTAGTACAATTAGTACAGTTACATCAAATATAACTAGTGTCTTATGTTAATAACAGTATAAAAGAGCTTTGCAACCATTTTAGCTATATCAGCTCATATCTAACAGGCAGGTAAGCTACATAAAATAAATGCTGCATATATTTGTGGATAAGCTGAGAATTTTAAATGCCAATATGTATCTAAAAATTTGTATTCAGCTTAATCTTCAAAAGAGCTCATCTGTGATGCATATAATTAAGTATCTTTTTTATTTCCCATATATATGCATATGTATCAGCCCATCCACAAATAAGGAAGCAAGCCCTGAAATTTGTAGCCAAAATACCATAAAAAATGAGGGCTGGCTTATCCATGGGTAGAGCATTTTTCCTGATTCAGGTAGTCCTTGACTTAAGACAGTTCATTTAGTGACCAAAGTTACGACAGCACTGAAAAAAGTGACTTATGATCGTTTTTTACACTTACGACCATTGCTGTATCCCCATGTTCCTGTGATCAAAATTCAGATGTTTGGCCATTGACTCATATTTATGATGGTTGCAGTTGTCCCAGGCTTATGATCACCTTTTGTAGCTTTTGGACAAGCAAAGTCAAGGGGGAAACCAGATTTACTTAAACAACTGTATTACTATCTTAAAACTTCAGTGATTCACTTAACAACTGTGTCAAGAAAGGTTGTAAAATGGGCCAAAAACCTAGCAAATATCTCCCTTAGCAACAGGAAGTTTGATTGTGGTCAGAAGTTGAGGACTACTTTGGTTAAAAGTTTGAGAGTCAGGCTATCTGCAGTTAGACTAATATGTGTATATATACAATAATTTCTTAAGAACTCAAAAGGTAGTTGATTTTACAAGTCCTTTCATCATTTTTTATCTTTATCATAATTTAAATTAGAAGATTGTGTTGTCTTTAACCCAAAATAATTGTTATTTAATTTTTTTTATATCTTGGCACAGGAAACTATATACTAAATTATATTGCATCTCGACCAAAATTGGCCCTTTTTGTGATTCAGGCTCTTGTTCAAGTAATTGCAAAGATCACAAAATTAGGATGGTTTGATGTTCAGAAAGACCAGTTGGTTTTTAGAGACATTATTGCTGATGTTAAAAAGTTTTTACAGGTAAGAAAGAGAAAATGTTTGTTAAAAAATAATGATAAAATTTGTAGAATATTTCTTAGAAGAATTGCAGATAGTCTGTTGCCCAAGATAGGCAATACCTTTGGTTTGAGGCTTGTCCAAATATAGATTTTTCCTTTGCATATATTTTCACAATCCATTATGCAAACATAGACCTTTCTATCACACCTATAAGCAGGCACAAAACTTTCACATTTTTTTTCTTTTTACAACCCTTTAATCCTTTAATTTGGGGTGATGTCAGGGTGATTAAATGGAGCTGAGCATTTACTGGCTGGATGTCCTTCCTGATGCCTATGTGGAGTTTGCAGCAGATATTTTCTCTTTGGGCCCTGATTGAGAAACATCTGTCGCTGCGTAGGCTTGAACTCTCAACCTTCCATATGGGAGGCGACTGCCTTCACCTCAAGGCAGTGCTGCTCAGGCACAAAATGTTTACAAATTCTTCTGAAAATAATCCCTTTATTCTTCTTACTGAAAATTGCAAATAATTCCTTTTTTTAAACAATGGCAAACTATGGGAATACGTATCAATGCAAAAAATAACTTTGTAGTTAAAGAACAAGTCTGATACTGAATTTAATTTAATCTGGAATCTATTTATGGACCATAATCCTGCACATGGATTTTTGTCACATCCATAGTTTAGGTTCTCTTAACATAAGACTTTAAAATGCTAGATGAATCTTGATATTAAGGGCAGAGTTTCTCAGGTTAGAAAGAAACACTAATTGCTTATTCTGACTCATGATTCTTATTATATTGGTGACCTTTGCAAATTATTAATTTGATTTTGACAACACTACAATAGAAATTTGTATTTCTTTTTTATTTATTTTTCCTCGATTGGTTTTTGAATATCTGTTGAAATAATAGCAATAGCACTTGGACTTATATACTGCTTTATAGTGCTTTTACAGCCCTCTCTAAGTGGTTTATAGAGTCAGCCTATTGCCCCCAACAATCTGGGTCCTCATTTTACCCACCTTGGAAGAATGGAAGGCTGAGTTAACCTTGAGCCTGGTGAGATTTGAACTGCTGAACTGCAGCTAGCAGTCATCTGAAGTAGCCTGCAGTACTGCACTCTAACTTATGCACCACCTCGGCTCTTAATAAAAATAAATTAAAAAACAGAAAGTAATCAATAGTTACCATGTCAGAAGATTTAAATTTTCAGTTTAAATAAGTAAAAGATTTTACCTTGTAGGCTTCATCAGCAAACCCAGTAGCTATTTATGGGTTATTACAATATTAGATTGTCATGATTTTCCTTTGGGTATAGAGATCCACAGCTAGTCAGAGTAATTGGCTGTGAGCTAGATAAACTAGATAAGGCAATTTCATGTGTTTGGAAGAACAAGCAGAGAGTTTCCTAGAAGTTGGGCACATGTTAGTCCAGTTTCCTTTTCTAATATACACTCATTCTGCTAATTCCTTACTTTCATTTACAAGTAGATGTTTCATTGCTTCTCCTTGAAATGATAGGGTGTTTTTGCACCTGACGTTTAGAATAACATTCTCTCCAGAGATTTATAAGGCCCCTAATCTCACTTGTTTAATTGAGTCTTGAAGACATGGCTCTTCCACCGAGCCTTGGGATAGGGGTTCTGGCAGGGCCCCTTTTGGGAATAGGGCAGTTGAAGGTTGCTTTTATTTTTTTTCTGGATGTCGATTTTTTTATGGTTATGAAATTTTTACTGTTTTTACTATTATTCACTGCGCAGAAGTATTACAGTGGTTTTAGGAAGTTGATGAATAAAATGACCAAGGAATATTTGCCCATATGATATAGGCCTGCCCTGCTGTTTTCTAATGTTGGCTTCTGATTTTGGAGAAAAAAAGATAAAATTGAACGCTGTAAATGGGATTTTTAGCTATAGTATAGACTGGAAATTTGGGTTTTATTGATATGTGAAGAACTATGGTTTTATAATGCATGGGGTATAATAATTATTTCATTATAATGGAAAGATTGTGCTGCCCTTAATTTACAGTATAATAAAAGAATATCATTTGGTCAAATTGTAATCCCATATTTGAAAATTGATTTATTGTACATTTGCTAAACTTTTTTGCTTTCCTCCCTATTTTTTTGTTTTGTTTTATTCTTTCTTCCTTTTTTGTATTTCTTTTCTTTTTCTATATTAAACCAATAAATAATTACGGATTTAGTCATATAAAGAGTTTTTTTTTCAGTACCTAGAATACATTTTCCAGCTATTGTACTGCATACGTTGACTCATTACTGCCTCTTTATTTAAGTAATTACATATAGCTAATTGCAAAGTAAAAACAATGGTTGTGTTTGCAATTTTTGGTGCTGGAATTGACACATCATTCAGAAAGATAAACATACAGTGGTACTTTGGTACATGTTGGTAATTCGTTCTGGAAAATGTGACAAATACTAATACTGATGAGTACCAAGAAAACTGGCTTACCACACGATCTGCTATGTCGGCCAGAAGAAATAGCGAGTCACTTGACATCTTCCTTGCGTGTTGACTACCGGTAGAAAGACAGGGACAAGATTTCTGCTTCAAAATGCATAAAATACCAAATTCGATGAGTTTTGAAGCAGTCAAGTGCTGAGGTATTGTCTGCGTTTAAAGAAATGCACATATTTTTGTTCTGTGTGTTTGTACTGAAAAGTGAAAATAAATAATGTAGTTGATAACATGAATGCTTATTCTCAAAGCCACCTAAAGCCTTTATTCATAGTCTGTTTCTGTTATAGGGGACTGTGGATCACTGCATAATAGGAGTAATGATTCTTTCAGAACTAACTCAGGAAATGAATTTTGTAAGTATACTTCTTTCCTTCATATTAGTTTATATTGCTACCAGATTATTGTCATAGTGTTTTGGAGGCAGGATTAATGAAAGGGAAAACTATACTATAAATAGGATAAAAATCCCAAAGAGAAACTTTCTATTAAATGAAGCTTGTAAATGGATTGTTTTAAAACTCACTGAGTGAATAAAATAGGATCAATTCTACTGATATTATAATTAGTTATAGTAATCTGAAAAAAGGAACAGAGCTTGTGTTATCAGCAGGATCTTTGCACATTTATAAAACATCCCATTCGTAGTTGTCACTGTATGTACCCTGATATTTCTTTTCTTTTTAACCTAGCCTCCAGAAACATCAAAAGAGTCTGTCTTATTGACAGGCCTATTACTGTGCTCTTCATTTTTAATGTTCCATAATAATATGATTATTTAAATTTGTTATACGTGACTACTCCAATGGGCTGTGTATGGTTGTTTTTGGGTTTGGTCTGATGATAGTTAAACCAAAGTTGCTGTTCCTATTGCTGGTTCTGCTGCTTTTAGATAACTTGCTTATATCTTTTTTCATTCAACATGAATATATAGAAGACTACTAAGGTGTTGCTATAAATTTTAGATAATGTATTGGATGGATTAGAAATATTAGCACTTCTTTTACTCATAATAGTGCATTTTATGAGTATATAGTAAGCACCTGTAAAATAATAATAATAATAATAATAATAATAACAACAACAACAACAACAACAACAACAACAACAACAACAACAACAATAATAATTTTATTTCTATACCGCCCTTCTCCCGAAGGACTCAGGGCGGTGTACAGCCAATTTAAAAACACAAAACAACAATGATTAAAAATTAAAATAATTAAATAGATTTGGCCCGGTTTAAAACCCCGAAAATGTAAAATACCCCAATTTAAAATTATTATGTTGATAGCCCGGCCTGGCGGAACAACAGGGTCTTCAGTGCGCAGCGAAACACCCGGAGGTCGGAGATCTTACGTATTTCCGGGGGCAGTTCATTCCACAGGGCTGGGGCTCCCACAGAGAAGGCCCTCCCCCTGGGTGTCGCCAGCCGACATAACTTGGCTGATGGCACCCTGAGGAGACCCTCTCTGTGGGAGCGAACTGGCCGGTGGGAGGCTATTGGTGGCAGAAGTCGGTCTCGAAGGTACCCGGGTCCTATGCCATGGAGCGCTTTAAAGGTGATGACCAACACCTTGAATCGCACCCGGAAGACCACTGGGAGCCAGTGCAGCTCGCGCAGGAGGGGTGTCACGCGGGCACAACGAATTGCGCCCATAACCACCCGCGTGGCCGCATTCTGTTTTAAATAATATAATATTCAAATGTTGAGTTTTCATTCTTTGTTTTAGATTGATTATTCAAGACCTTCATCAAAGCATCGTAGAATTGCCATCTCTTTCCGTGATACCACTCTAAAAGAAATTTTGATGCTGGCATGCTCGCTGCTGAAAGAGGTGGGCCCAAAGCTAATCATATTATAGTGAGATTATTTCTTTACCATCAGAACATTTTTTGTTGATATTTTATTCATAGAGTCACTCATGGACATACTTTTTAGCCAGAAACCTATGCAGCTAGATTAGTATGAAATGCATGGTGAGAAAGTGATGAATGAATGTTTGAAATTTATTTATTTTTATTTATTTATCAAATCTAAATACCACCCATCTCACTTTCGGAGTTGGGTTATCTGCAATTAGACTAATATGTGTGTATATACAATAATTTCTTCTTAAGAACTCAAAAGTAGTTGATTTTCATCATTTTCTATCTTTATCATAATTTAAATTAGAAGATTGTGTTGTCTTTAACCCAAAATAATTGTTATTTAATGTTTATTGTCCACTCAGAGTTACAATGGCACTGAATGAATGGTGATAGTTATACTTAACAGTTATAGTTCCTTGAAGTCCTGGTGGCCCCAACACCTCTACAGTTGTAATCATAATCTGCATGCTTGGCAGCCAGATGGTTGCAGCATCCCACAGTCACATAATTGCAATTTGTGACCTTCTCTGCTGGCTTCCCCATGTAAAGTCAATGGGGAAGCTGGTAGGGAATGTTGCAAGTTGTCCTGGTAAGTCTCCCTCACCTGTGCATCCTCCCTGAGCCTTGCTGCATTTGCACCATGCCTCCTTGGCCACATGCACACCCTCTCCCACCCAAACTTCTGTATGACTTGGTACTTGCAAGTTCCTGTCAGTTTCCTCACTGATTTCATTTGTAGGAGGCTGACAGGAAGTTGCAAGGAGGTGCTCACTTAATGACCTATAATCTTTGCTTAATAATGGCAACAGAGATTGCTGGGATTGCCATCACTAAATGATGTGGTCATAACTCAAGGACTACCTAGCTCTTATATCCAAATCCTTGCATTGGCCCACAAAGTTGAGTTTTGTGAGTGATACATATTAGAATTCTTGACATATTGTATTGGAATTCTTAAGATAATGTCATTACATTATTCAGAAATACATTACTGAACCACATTTTTAAAATTTGGATTTAGATATTGGCAAAACCATTAAATCTTCAAGATCAACAACAGCAAAATTTAGCAATACATCTTCTGAAGCTTGTCCTCAATTGTCTTAACTATGACTTCATTGGAAGTTCAGCAGATGAATCTGCAGATGATTTGTGTACTGTACAAATTCCAACAAACTGGAGATCAAGTAAGAGAATAATTACTGCTAATAATCTATTTACTTTTTTCTAATGTGCCTACCAGATGTATTTGGATTCTGAAGTAGCCAGTCAGTAGAATTCTTTAGAATAAGTGAGGGGCTATCATTATCTTTTGGAGCCTGAAAACCCTATTATGACAGATTTTCAAGACAGTTTGAGGATGAAATTGTTTTTGTGCTGACTTGAATATAGATTTTGATGCAGTTTATATACTGGTATACAGTGCACAGCTTAGTGTAATTATGTGAGATCTTACTCAGTTTTTTAGGTTCGAGGAGAGAAACAGCAGTTTATAACCATCTGACTTATCACATGTTGTCTTGACACTGGTCCATGTTGATACAGTCTTACTTGATTAGATGGATTTCAGGAACACCTTTCATGATGGGTGGTGTGAAGGGAAAAAATCAACATCATGCTGGGTTCAGAGGATTTTGCCCTCTCATACCCAATCATAAATTCTTCTACTTTTGGGGAACAAGTTGTTTGAAAGTATGGTGTCCTTGCTCAGTCCATTTGACATTGAAACATTCCAGGCCCACACTAAGCCACCGATTCATATTCTGACAAAATAATACATCCCACAGAAGTTTAGTTGATTATTTTGTATGTATTGTATATCTACCTCTTTCAATATGGCTCATATTCATACAAGTATATCAAAGGAGTCTCCTTTCTAACACAGAATTCTTTGAAAAATGACCGAAAATTCAGCTGTGTTGGTGGAATTTTTCTGCCTAATTTGCTGTGTGCCTGATTAAATACCATACTAGATACATTGTAGGTATTTAATTTATCTAACAGTTTCTTATCAATTATATTTTAGAAAAATATTTTATTCTGAGAATGCTTGAATTCCAGACAAATGCCATCTGGTAAATTATTTCATGACAAAATATCTTTTTTTTCATAAAATCCAAATAAATATGCATCCAAACTGTAATGTTGGAAAAAGGACAGTTGTGTTGTAGTGTCATATAATGGAATTGTGTTAGAAATTGCGAAACAGGAATGAAACTACTGTTGAACATGAAAAGGGGCGTATCTCTGAGAATTTTTTGAATATTCATTCCTACTGAGATATAAGAGCAACAGCTAACAGAGTAGAATGTAAGAATGGACTATGAATTGTCTTGGCATTTTAAAAAAACTAGGGTGGCACTTCTGCAGAATTTAAGGCTAAATGGGAGAGATGGAAGGGCTTTACAAACACTCTCTTTTTCTTGGTAGCAACCATATGTGAGTGGCAGAACTTCAAATGGGCTATGTTTTGCAACAAGGCCTTTTATTTACAGTCCACTTGGAGTAAATCTAGTGCTTGCTCCTTAATTGTGCAATGATTGTCAGAAAACAAATGCCACAATTGCATGAATAAGAGGCAATTAAGGGTGGAGAGAGGATCAAAATATCAACATATAAATACATGAAGCGTACCTTCTCCCCTAACCCACCTATTTTGCATTATAAAAAAAAAGAGCCATTTGAAACTATTTGACACATGCATTTATTATTTTAAATGTATAACTGTGTTTTTGAGAGAGGCATAAACTAGAAAAGATAAACCACCTATTTATTTTCACTTTTGTTCTCAGTTTTCCTGGAACCAGAGACTTTGGATCTCTTTTTTGACCTGTATCATTCCCTCCCTTCAATGCTGTCACAGTTAGTAAGTATAAACCATCTTTAGTCTTTTTTATTTAGTAGGAAACTTTCTTTAAAGATGTATGTGTTTGATAAATTTGTCCAACTAAAAAGTCTTGTTACTGTATGTGTCCTGCAATTTTATTATCTTTATGCTTTGCAATGGAATCCTTAGTTCAACCTGGGAAGTATATTATTGCAGATAAGGTCAGTAGGACATTTAATATTGGGCAGTCCTATTTTCTGGCTTGAGGAGATGGCTGCTGCGGTGGCATCTGTGCTCCATAAGCAGTAACTCATCAGCACATTTAGAAAAGTATGTACTGTATGGTCACTGTTACTATTGCAATTATATACAGATAGTTCTCAACTTACAACCACAATTGAGCCCAAATTTTCTGTTGTTAAGTGAGACATAGTTTAAGTGAATTTTGCCCCATTTTACGATCTTTCTTGCCACTGCTGTTAAGTGAAACACTGCAGTTGTTTAGTTAGTAACAGGGTCGTTAAGTGAATCTGGCTTCCCCATTGGCTTTGCTTGTCAGAAGGTCACAAAAGGAAATCATGTGACCCCAGGACACTGCAACCATCATAAATGCCAAGTGTCTGAATTTTGATCACATGACCATGGGATACTGCAACAATCATAAATGTGGTCTCTTCTCCTATCACAAACATGTTAATTTTAACATGAACAGGAAATATCCCAGACTCATCCCCATCCCTAGTAATAAAAATACAACCACCACAAATTAAGTAGTAAATGTTGTAGATTGCATTCTTACTGATCATGATGTCCAACAAGAACACACACATGCAGAATGTATAGCATCAAATCAAAGGAGTAAAAAGACTTTTCAGCCCCAATTCTCATTTTACAATAGGATTTTAAAATAAGGTTGTATTTTGGTCCATTTTCTACTTAATCTTTATGTCAACTCCCTAATTCAATCCCTAACAAAAAGTGAATTTTATCTCCCATTCTAGCAAATAAACAATGTCTATTTTGCTTTCACCTCTCCCTGACACAGAACGATGAGTTTATGAGCCTTAGAAGCTTATTGTAGAGAAGAAAAAAATAAAAAATTAAAAAACAAAGAGATTGTGTTAATAAAACAATGTGTTATTGTCCTCCATAAGCGGAAAATCAACAGAAATCTGAGCGAAGTTTAAGAAACCCAAATACTTAGGAATCATATTTTAATCTTCTAATAGCTGGAAAGAGTAAGAAAAAAACCATTTCTCTCATGCGCAAAAATACTTCCAATGTAATTATTTTTGTTAATCATCTTGAAAATAATTACATTCCTACTGTAATTATGTTTCTTAGGTCTGAGGTGCTGAGCCTAATATTTAATGGTGTACAAATTAAAGCAAAAGTAATTCAGAGTGAGTCCTTAAGAGGAATGCTGCATTTTAAATGTACTACAGAAGAGAATACATTTCTTTCTATTAGCTTATTCAGTCCTTAGAAATCTCAAAAATGGTAGCAAAAATCTATTCAGTCATGATCCCTGTAAAGAAACTCAGAGTATAATTAAGTTCTAATAGATTGTTCAGAAAGCAATTAATTATATTTTTCTCTTTTAATATTTCAGTTTGTTACATGGTTATTGGTTGAGGTTTTGGTAGAATTTTGGCCTATGACTAAATAAAGTCTGGTACTTGATTTGTTATAAATTTCCTTCCTTCCTTTTCATAGTTTGAAAAGTTGGGGCAGAGTGATGTAGTTCAGATTTTATTATGTAAATTGTCTTTATGATAGTGCATAATTTGTTTACACTTGTCTATTTTTGGCCAATAGATTGGTTGGGTATCTATTGTGAAATAAATCTGAAATATTTATAACAGGAGTGGATTGTTTCTCAAGACCATCCACTCATTTTAATTATTGAATTTTCAGAGACTGCATTCTGTATGTACTTTCAGGCAACATTAGCACAAATAGTTATACACATTCTAGAATGGTTGATGGGCTAGCTATTCTTCCTTCCTTCTATTATGTACTGTGCCTACTTCTGTGCTCTGTTTTGGCCATGTATTATCATAGTTGCAGATGTTGCATTGCAGGTCAGATGTTGCATTGTAACTGGTTGGCATTCACATAGCTATTACAATCAAAACACCATTATTGTCTTGTGTACCACCTGATTTATACAAAAATGTAGATATCTATTTTTCAGTTGTGGGCACCTTGGAGATATTACACACATTACTGTATTTTAATTCGCCTTACTAGATTTTTTTTCACAATGGTAAATACAAATTGAGGGCAATTTCTATATTTTAAATATGTATATAGTATGACTGTAGCTGCGGGTCAACTTTTAAAGTGTTTTAAAGTAAATACAAATGAAGCAAAATAGCAGCGAAGTCCTTGCTTGCTTCAAAAAACAATATTTATGTCCCACTTAATACATTTCTTAAATCATTATTTCCCTTTTAGGCACTTTCCTGTTTAGTTCAGTTTGCTTCTACAAGGCGATCCCTATTTAGCAATCCAGAACGTGCCAAGTATCTTGGTAATCTAATCAAAGGAGTAAAAAGAATACTTGAAAATCCTCAGGTAATTCCCCCCCCCCCCAATTTCCTCATAGATTCCAATTATATTTGTTCCATTTTTTCTTAGGATATCTTTATTGTAAATATTAAGATTGATATTTAGTAAAATAGTTAAATTAGCCAATGGAAGAATTTACTTGAGGCATTTGAAATGATAGTGTGGGAAATATGCCAGTTTTCAACTGTGTCTTACATTATCTGATCTGCCTCATATTTTTGAGTTAGTGCTATCTGTGTCTGAATGAGAATTCTATCTAGATTTTGTTCAACCCTGGTTTAATAGTTCAGAAAATTGTCTTATTTTAGTCAGATTAGTTCGGAATGAATCCACTCAAGCAAGAATTTTTATATTTCAAATGTCCAATTTCATGTTGCCGTGACAATGTGAGTTTGACACCCTTGCTTTAGTTCATAAAAGAGTAAAACAACTTAACTTTCTTTTTCCCAAGTAAGTTTACGCTGTAATCCTAGCTCCTGTAGCCTGGTTCCTAAGAGCAAATAATAATAATAAGGAGCCAAGTTTAAATCTTATGCTTATTCCATCCTATGGGATATTTTATTTTATTGTTATTTATTAAATATATACAACCAACCTTTCATAAAAAGTGATTGAGCAATTGAATTAAAATAGCAATGCTTATTGAAGATCTTATTGAATAGTTTGTGGGGAATGGGGGTGTATAATAAAGCATTTGTAACATAAAAGGCGTTTATCACTCTTATTTGATGTACAAGATTTCTGCATACACAGATATTAGCTATTTCATATATTTAGAAAGATGCCTGGCTGCTGCATTTATTGCCTTATTCTTGATCACCCCATATGTATTTTACTCCTCCTCTGTGCCTCTGCAGTGACAATAAATTATGTTGCATTCTTAACATACTGCTGATTTTCCTCCAGTGCACTGCAGAAGCCTATTATGATATTCTATGAGGAATCACAGCTCCTAGTCCCACCAACAAATTTCGGTCATGCAGATAATTCCTAGTTGTCTGACTTCACAAAATAGTTTGTTTCACAATTATTTCTTTGAATATTTGTGGCATATACAATAAGATTAATAATTAATTTTTGATTTGGGGATGGACTGTATCTTCTTTTTGTGAAGACTTATTAATTATTTCTCTCTATAACTCTCATAATGAATGCCTATTTTATTTTTAATAATTTAGGGCTTATCGGATCCTGGTAACTATCATGAATTCTGTCGATTTTTGGCTCGATTGAAAACCAATTATCAACTTGGAGAATTAGTAGTTGTGAAAGATTATCCAGAAGTTATTAGACTGATAGCAAGTTTCACTATTACTAGTTTACAGGTAAGATAATAATAGAATGTTTTGGAATGTGATTGATTTGATTATTTTAAAGGGGAGTGTATAGAGCTTGGTGACTGATTATTTTACCTTTTATCTGCCAAGAATATTCTAAGATTGTCAATTTAGGGCTCCATCTGTTTTTTTACAATACATAATCATGGGTTTTCTTACCAAGATGTGAAGAAAAAATTGCAAATAACATTTGTGATTGCTTGCATTGGATTGAAACTTACTCTAATGAAAAACTCATTTCTTTTCTTTATAGCACTGGGAATTTGCACCAAACAGCGTTCATTACTTGCTAACCCTTTGGCAAAGAATGGTTGCCTCAGTTCCTTTTGTGAAATCATCAGAACCCCATCTCTTAGATACCTATGCACCTGAAATCACGAAGGCATACATTACTTCTAGACTGGAATCTGTTTCCATGGTTATAAGGTAATCAAGAGTACAGTTCCCCATAACTTTAGCTAGCTCTGTTGCACAAAGTCTTTCTTTCCTGATACCTATTTTTAATTCGGGTAACTGCATTAATTTTGTTCCTGGAATAAAAAAGTGTGCTTCTGAAATCAGTTTGCTTCAATGTAAGTCTTCTTAGGTTTCATTATAAAAAACCTCCATCAAATTCATCATTGTTGAATTAATCATCCAGCTTTCATCCTTTAAAAAGCACCTCCTTCTGATAAGGTTTATATTGATTTCACCTATAAGTTTGTGGATAACGACTGTAATGTCATTTCAAACTGTCCAGTGATTTTTACATTGTCCGTTATAATTTTTATATGGATTTTAGGGAAGGTTTGGATGATCCCTTGGATGATACAGCCACAGTATTTCAGCAATTAGAACAGCTATGTACAGTTAGTAGATGTGAATACGAAAAGACTTGTGCTCTTCTTGTACAGTTGTTTGACCAAAATGCACAAAACTATCAGAAGTTGTTGCAGTCATCTAGTAGAAATACTCTGGCAATCTCAATTCAAGAAGGTTAGTATATATTATTATTTTTTATTTTTATTTTATTTTTTATTTAAAAAGTTTTAACAATCATTACAACAATTTAATTACATCCTGCCTTTGCTCTACACTTATATTCTCTATTATATTCTCTGGGTATTGCCCACAATGGTAACTTCTCGTTTAGTTTATACTTGTACTTTTTCCAGACACGCAATAGAGCATTCCTTAATATATGACTTTTAAAAGTCTTGTCCACTTTCTTATCATATAATAAATAATCATGCCACCCGTAAACCAAATCATATCCCTCAATATTCAATATTCTTTCTTCTGTTAAATTCATCCAATCACTCATTGCTGATAGAACAGCTGCCTCATAATAAAGTCTTAAGTTAGGCATTTTGAGACCTCTTTTGCATGTATCCTGCATTATTTTTTGTTTTATTTTCGGTCTCTTCCCTGCCCAAACAAAATTATTAATACCCTTCTGCCATATCTTCAAATTTTCATCTTTTTTAAGTATTGGTATCATTTGAAAAAGAAACAAAAACTTAGGCAAAACATTCATTTTTACTGCTGCTATTCTTCCTAGCAAGGATAATTGTAATTTTTTCCAGTTTTCCATCTCTCTCTGTATTTTTTGCCACAGTGGATCATAATTATACTTAAATAATTTTGCATTTGATGTCATAATATAGACCCCTAAATACTTAACTTTTTTTACAATTTCAAATCCTGTTAGTCTTTCTAATTCTTCTTTTTGATTTATAGTCATATTTTTAGTTATTATCTTCGTTTTCCCTGCATTTATTTTAAATTCAGATACTTGTCCATATTGATTAATTATATCCATTAGATCTACAACCGACTGTAATGGTTGGGTTAAAGTAACAACCAAGTCGTCTGCGAATGCTCGTAATCTATAGTCATACTGCCTAATCTTAATTCCACTTATTTTGTCTGACCCACGTATCTTAACAAAAATTCCAAAGTCAAAATAAACAATAATGGAGACAAAGGGCATCCTTGTCTTGTTCCTTTTTCTATATTAAAAGTGTCTGTTAAACTACCATTAATTATTATTTGCGCTGTTTGTTTCTGATGGGGAACATTTCACAAAAACTATTAAGGTATTTTTTATTTTTATTGTGCACATGTCTGCCATATACGTTTGGCTCACTTATTTATTTATTTTTTAATCAGTTTTTAGTGCAAGAAGAAATAATATTCCCCCAAAAACATCCAATATTGTATAGAGATATACAAACAGTTGAAGTTTTTCTATCTTCTTTCTCACCCCTGCCTGAGGGGATCTTCCAGACTTCTAGGACAAAATTATGGGTCAGGAGGCTATAGGAGAAAGAAAGAATTGATTCCTCCCCATTTCACTGAAGCATTACAACTACAAAGTAGCTTTTTAAAAACTAGTTATGATTTTTCATGTAAGAATTACCACAGCACAACTACGATGCCCCTCGGCCCTTCCATTGCTTAGACATTAAGACTCAAGTGCCGAACGTGAAATAAGAAATTTAAACTTCAGTTTTCTTTCAGGTCATTTCCCCGGGTCAGACTTCACCACTGTGTTAAATAGAATCTGTGTGTTTTTTAAAAAAATGTATTTAACACAAAATAGCAATAAGTAAAATAAGCAAATTATAATTATTCATTATAACTAGAGCAATAGAAAAAAGGGAAAAATGTTAACACTTTCAATGCACTTTTAAATGAAATTGTTACATGAGGAAAATACGAAATTACGAAAATTTATTGAAAGCTAAAGTTGAATGTGGTAGTGAAAGAGTTAAGGGCATTATAGCTAGACGAAAAAAACTCTGTGGTGTTCCCCTTCCTGTGGTGCCCTGAGCACATAATTATTTTGCTTAATGGTTAAACCAGAGCTGGTATACATATTTTTTCATTTTTATTGGCTTCCACCATGCCAGACAGTGCTTAGTATGTTGCCTTTTGTTTTTAAAATTGTTGTTCAGTATATCTTTAACTGAACTCAACTTTCTTAGCCTTTCTTTTCCTCTTGACCCTTCATTCTTCTTCATATATTCATAGAATTATTGAAAGATGGGTTGGAGGTCATCTGGTCCAAATCTTTGCTCACTGCAAGACCCATTACAGTATCTCTAACAGATTACCGTTCACCCTTTGTCTGCAAATCTCTACTGAAGGCACATGATATGGCAGCCTGTTCCATGAACTGACAACTGCTGCAATCATGACCTTTTGTGATTCATACTCATTATCCTCTGAATGTAACCAGATTATCTTAATATACATCTTTCGTGGTGGTGAACACTGGTGTTCAGTCTGTTTATAGATCATCTCACATTCATTGATGACCCTATCTCTTGATTTATCATATATGAGTATCCTGTCCCCTTTTTATTGTACAAAAGTACCCCAATTCAGCCTACTTTTATATTTCTACTGACATAATCTAATTATTTCATATAACAGTATAAACAGAATAACACTAAAACACAGCCATTTTTCTTCGTTTTATTTCTTGCAATAGGTCACATGCTATACATTACCATTCCATTAGGATTTATATGGCCTAACATTTGTTGATTAGTTTTCCCATCTTTAGTAAATATTTTAACTTGGATATTGTAAACTACCTTGAGTAGCCCCACAGTGAGATAAGCAGCATATTTAACAAACAAATAAATAAATAACTTGCAGTCACACCATTTTCCTTGTCATACACAACTACCTTATTTTTGATACATTTATTTTCTGATCCTTGTCCTCATTGTATCATACAGTTTTTCTAAAATTCACTGCAAATCATTTGGGCTTTACAACATTAAAAATAATAAAATCCCCAAACCCTCTCCACCACTACCTCCACCAGCAGCAACACAATCAAATTAACTTGATTGGTTCCATTTCCATTGGTCAGTTTGGTCAGTTGAGGCTTTCATATAACACTTTTTAGTAAGGGAAGATTTAGATCAGGGGTGTCAAACTCGCACATGGCATCGTCATGTGACGTATTGCGACTTTCCCTCCCTTTGCTAAACCGAGCGTAGGCGTGGCCAATGCATGACACATCCAGCCCGCGGGCCACGAGTTTGACAGCCCTCATTTAGATTATCAACTGTCACTGCATTCATGCTCATACAGCGTTCCCTAGAGTGAATATAGTGAACATAGGCTTAACATAGTATAAAATTAATTTTAGTGTGAAAAATGTTTTAGATTTAACAGTTTTCCATTTTACAATAATATAAGGGGAAAAGTGATATTTTAACAATGACAACAAAAGTGGCATCAACATATAACGGGTAAAGACTTTTTCATCCCAGGCTGGCCAGGGCAGACCTGATGATAAGAGAGAGCCTTAAACTAACAGAAACACCCTTATATTATTCAAGCTACAATGGAAGAAAGGAAGATATATTTTCTCTTAGTGAGTGCTCTTTTTTGTTACTCAGAAATAGTGCTGTTATGTAAACATGCATTAGTACCTTTATTAGGGACTCATTTGAAAACTATTGCCTTGGCCTCCCCATCCCTCCTTGGTGTACATTATGATGGTAATAAAAATAACCTAATTTACAGAGTTGTAAGGAATTTTGAGATAATGCACGCAGAGTCATTTTAACATTCATAAAGCAATATAGAAAGGATTATGATGATAATTAAAATGAAGACACATCTATCCAGGATGATATTCATTTAGTTCTTTAAATAAATTAAAGATTCTGAATATCTTAAGCCCAAAAATTGTGTGGCCAAAGCCTAGCTTTTTCTTTTTTTCAGAAAAAAGTCAGTGATTTTGAATTACTATTAGAAATAATTTTGACATTGGTTTATATTTCTGCTAGTGTTTATGTAATATTCAGTTTCTTTTCTGTGGACTAAACATTTCTGCTAGCCCAGAACAATAAATGTTACCTCCCCTAGTTATGCACACTTTAATTTAGATGTTTAATGGCTTTTAATGTTCCAAAATAAGTTAATATAATATTAAGACCTCATTTTATTATATTGTCTTGCTCTTTGTATCGATTGTGATGCAGTCATGGTTTGCTAAAACAATAATCCCCAAGAAATGGGTCATTAACAGTAGTTAACGATTACTTGTGATCTATGGTAATGACTGATTTCTTTGGGATTATTGCTGTTATAAAACATAATTACAGATTATTACTGCAATAATTATTTTGGTAAAGAAAAAATATTCTCCTTTAGCAGCTGGAAAAGAGCAATACTGAATGTTTTGAGCAAGGAAGTAAGCACAAATGCGAAGGAAAATGAATTTTATTTTCTGTGTACAGGGACCAACTCAAGGTTATTAGTGAAATACTCTTTGTGCTGACAGAAGTACTTTTGAGTTTAATGTTACATTTTGAGGTGGTTATCAATCCATGTTATGGCTTTCTCAATTTCAGTCTTACAGTATTCATACATTCATATATGGTGAAATTCTGGAATTGTTACTGGTGAAATACGGAGTTTCTAAGCATCTAATATCATTTGACTGTTGTCAATAAAGAAAATGCCAAATTTTATATTATTGTTTGTCATATTAGATACATAGATCTTAAAAATGCTGAATTCTGAATATTTTATTTTACTTTGTTTAAAATATTTCTAGGCTTTTGTCAGTAGCTCAGTGTGGTTAATAATAAAGCAGCAATAATTGCAGAAAATTTAAAAATAAAACTAGTCAGTTGTTGAAATCATCCAATGTCTTTCAAAATCATTATGGGAATACGGACTTCTTTAATTTAGGCAAGTGATTCAAGAGTTTAGGAGCCAGCAGATTATAATAACCTGTCTTTTAATTCAATGATGGTGAACCTTTTGTACTCAATGTGTCAAAAATTCAGAAAATGCTATCTTGACTACTGGCATCTCTCTCACACACAGAGACATACTCACACAGACACCAGACAAAAGAGGCACTCTCAACCTCTTCTACAGACTCTCCTCTTGGCTTCTTTCCTCTGGATTCTCCAGAAGCTTTGCAAGTTGCATAACAGGATTCACACAATTTTTGGATGTCTCAGAGGCTGCACAAGAGCATTGCCCTCTTGATTCGCAGAAGGTCCTGGGGCTTCTACAGACTCTCCGGAAGTTGTCCAAGAGGGCCCTAGTGAGGTCTCTTCAGAAGCCTCAGAAAATTGCATGAGAATGCTTGTGTTATTTTCAGATGCCTCAGAAGCTGCGCAAGAGCAAAGCCCTGTTGGGCAACTTCTGGAGGTCTAGCATGTCACCAAAAATGATATAGTGTATCACCTGTGACATGCGTATCATAGGTTCACCATCACTGTCTTAACTGGTGTGTTCTGAATCCCAGTCAAGAGGTAGTACTAAATTCAATATTCCACTCATCAAGCATAGTTGTGCCAATTGGTGGTGTGACTCCGGTCCCGGAGACTGATTTATTTTCGCATGCTGAGTCGGAGGATGATATGGAGGAAGCTGGCACAAGCTATGTGTCGGAGGGGCCGTCTTCACTGGTGAGTCAGCAAGAACTGACCCCAGCCAAATTGAGGAGGAAACAGAGGCCGGTAACGAGGAGAGGGAGCTCCTATTGGATGCAAGAGAGAGACGTAGGAGACGTCGTAGAGAACAGTTATTGCCACGTCCCAAGAGGTGTGGTCAGGAGACGTAGGGCCACACCCTACAAAGTATAAAAGGGGTGTGGCTGGGCCAGAAAGGCGTGGTGAACAATTTGTTGGCATTTTGGATGCAGTGGAGTTTAGAACTGCTAGTTTTGAGTTTTGAAAAGGAGTCTGCATTCCTGCATTAGCCTGCTGGCCAATACCTCTGGAACATTGACTGGTAATTACTGAACTGATATACCTTTGGAACATTGCCGGTAACTACTGAACTGATTTACTTTTGAAAGAGAACTGTTTATTAAAGGGCCAGCTTCAATCTCTCTAGCCTGCGTTTGTTACTGCCAGGCTATTTGAGCTTCTGCAAGGTCGCTCGTGGGAGGGGACAGAACAATTGGGTTTGGGATTTCAATTCTCATCGTCCCCACAGTGTATTAGCATGAGAATATGGGAGACATAGTCCAAATTATATGGAAGGGCCCCCAAATTGTAGTACTGTACAAAAAATAAGACTTCTGTTTACCTCAAAGAATAAATATCTTACTGCAGATAGTAAAGTTGTGCTGTAATCTATCTTTGCCAGGTTACAATAGGCTGAGAAATGGAAAACAGGGTTATGTCCTCAGCAATGTTGAACAGTTAACTGTCACTGATTCTCCTCCACTTTCTATTTTATATCTGTACAAACTATTATAAATAATTTTGTAATCTTTTCAAGTCACCATTTGAAATACCCCATTCTGGTGATGGTGCTCTCAACTTTTTAATACTGTGACCTCTTAAAACGGGTGTCAAACTCAAGGCCCAGGGGCTAGATCCGGCCTGCAGGGTGCTTAGATCTGGCCTGTGGGGCTGTCCTGGAAATAGTGAAGGACTGGCTCGCAGTGCCTCTGCCAGCAAAAATGGAGCTCGCGAGGGTCTTGTGTGCCCCTCCAAGCTCTGTTTGCATTGGCAGAGGGTTGCAGGAGGCCTTCACAGCTGAAAACAGAGCTCAGGAGCCCGTTTTCACTGGCAGACCACTCAGACCAACACAGGTGCCCCTACCGACACGTGATGTCATGCTGGCCATGCCCCCCCAGCTCCCCCATATCAAACACAACCCTGATGTGGTCCTCAATGAAATTGTGTTTGGCATCCCTGCCTTAAAATGATAAATGAATTTCTGGGACACTTAAAGCAGGGGTCCCCAACCTTGGGCTGCAACCCACTAGTGGGCTATGAGGGGATTGCAATCAGGCCGTGAAACAGCCAGCTCATAACGCGCATCCCCACTTGCACGAGCATGCTCCATTTCTATTTTGTATGCCTCACATGCAAATGGAGCTGTGCATGCTTTCCGGCCACTCGCGTAGAACCTTCTCCTTTCCCTTCCCCCCCTCACTGGTCCCCAAAGCCAGAAACGTTGGGGAACTCTGATTTAAAGTAAAAGAAATGATTTCACTAGTATTAGGAATGGACAAGGAATAAATACATCACTTTCTTTTAATAACTAAATTTTAATTTGTAAATCAAATGATAGAACCCTGAAAGTGTTTTGCATGAGTTGTTTCTAGATGTCAATTTATTTTGCTTGCCTTTATATTCTCAACCGACAGTTGTGTTTTCAGACGATTGAAGCCATTTTTCTTCACTTGAAAAAGTAAAAGATACCTGTAAAACCAATAGATATAAAAGTTCCATAGTTACAGACACCTAGAGTCACTTTTGATGAGATGGGCAGCTGTATAAATGAGAAAGAGAAAATGTTTCCTTATTTTAGATCTTCTTACCACTATTGGTAGATTAGTCAATTTTAGCTTTTCTTACATCACCCATTGTGAAAGGCTAGAAATTTAAAATAAATTAATAAAAATACTGAAGTTCTTGACTTGTATACTTTTAGATACACTCCAAAATAAGTTACACTTTGCAGAAATGAAAGTTGTGGAGAGTTGTGTTCATTTAATTCCATTAAAAACCCTGTCCACAGAATTTTATATCTTAATGCAAATTATAAAATTTTATTCATTTTAAAAAAATAATGGTTTTAATGAAAAAAATTAATTATTTTAAAAATAGATAAATATAATTAAAGGCCATGTCAAAATAACATTCTGTACCATAAGTAATAATTCAAATAATGCAGTATTGTTGGTAGTATATAGAACTCTTGTGCCTTTGATGAGAAAAGAAAGCAAGCAAAGAACAAATTTGTAAGCTTACTAATATGCAGAACATCATGACTAGGCATTTATTTAAAAATTAGTGAATCCCCTCTAATCCACAGTTTAAGAAGCTTTGAATCAGGTCAGTAGATATAGTTGCTGAACTCATCCTTACACAAGCTTTCAACTGAAGAGTGGTCTTTTCTGCAGAGGTAATTTTTTAAATATTAGGTTGCAACTAGTGGTGGGCTGCTGCCGGTTGTAACAAGCCTTGAGAGAGAGCCTTGATGGTACAGTGGCCTACGCACCCTGTTATTAACACAACTGCCTGCAATTTACTGCTGGTTCAAATCTCTCCAAGGCTCAAGGTTGACTCAGCCTTCCATCCTTTCTAAGGTAGGTGAAATGAGGACCCAGTTTGTGTGGGCAATAAGCTGACTTTGTATAAATATACAAAAGGATGAAGGCTATTGCTTAACGCATTGTAAGCTGCCCTGAATCTCCGGAGAAGGGCGGCATATAAATCAAATTAAAAAAAAAAAAAAAAAAAACCGGTTCGACCAGCACTGAAAATGTGAGCATGCACCTTCCGCGCTTGCGCACGGTTTCAAAAACATGGCGATATAGGACGGGATAGCGCCGAGGCGGGTGGCCAGGCCCACCCGCAGGTCACAACTACCGATTCGCCTGAATCGGTCCAAACCAGCAGCAGCCCATCTCTGGTTGCAAGCAGAAATGTCCATGTGGGGAAAGAGTCAAGGGAGCGAATGATGAAAACTGCAACAAAATCTACCCCGTTTGTATGTGTGTGATACCACATGCTTGTAGTTTGTGTAATGACTGGGTTGCAACATTTGTTATTTTAATTGAAGCATTGGTTCCTGTTGCTGCCTGTGATTGGATATTTGTAACATGTTAAAGGCTAATGGGTAAATCATTAGTGTAAAATGAATATGAATGTTCTTTTCAGCATTTGTCAAGAGATCTATAATGCAGTAAAAGCAAGTGAATTGCAGTAAGTAAAGCTAGACATATGTATTGGAATTTTGATCACAAATTAAGTATGAGGAAAATAGAGTCCTGAAAAGAAAAATCCAGTATGCTTTTTATATCCTGTCTAGTAAACGTTCTTTTTGAAGGCGAAATCTGGAAAAGAAATTGCCAGAAACAGCAGCAGGTTTTAAAATTTATTGAATAAGATCAGTAGTGAAACTAAAGTATGTAATACTTAGCAGCAGTTTTTAACAAATAAAATCACAACCATGGAATTAAAATCTCATCTAAAGAATATGAGAAAGATCAGAAACTTGGTAGATAGAAATGGTTAGCAATGTTGATTTTAATAGTTCAGTGTAACATAAACTGAGAATATTAATATTTTGATCAATAAATGTCAAAACTAGCCCATCCTTGTTTGCCATGAGTATCATCAGAAAATTACCTGCTTTTCTTCTTATTTCCATAATTTCCTAGTAAGCATTAGAATTCACAGCAAATATTTTATGGGAATCCGCAGCAAATATTTTATGGAAAATTTATTTTCTTTTTCATTCTCCCTGGATTCCAGGACGTTTGGCATGGCTTGTCTACCTTGTTGGGACTGTTGTAGGAGGAAGATTAACTTATACCAGTACAGATGAACATGATGCAATGGATGGTGAATTATCCTGTCGGTATGTATTAACAGAATAGAACTATATGTCACAAGAATAAAATATATTTGAATAAAATCGTATTTATAGGATGGCTAAACAGCTTTTAAACATTATTTTTGTGAAATAAGAAATTTTGCTAATGAGCCCCAATACAGACCCTGCAGAGAATGGATTTTCAAACATTACATTGCTTAAGATCATCTGGAAGAGAAGCTGAGTTCATTATTGAGCACACTGAATTGAGATTCAGTTTAAGATTTTCCTTGATGCATCTATATTGGTAACAATGGCCACATTGAGAAACCAGCAGAGCACATGATATAAAAGGCTTTGTTTGCTCCCATCATTCTACAAGGGAGGTACTGAACATTGCATGTGTTCTTCATGAATTAATTCTTTTAAAAACTGTCCATCATTGTATGGTATTGGCGAGGTGATTCAAAGTTGCTTTAAGTAAATGATTATACGGGTAGTCCTCATTTAGCGAACACAGCAACTTGGTTGCTAAGTGAAACCGTGATTGTGCTCATGATCTTTCTTCACCTTTCCTTTGCTTTATAGACATGTAAGATTGTACATGCAAGGATTGGTCATAAAAGTAATTTTTCATTACCTTTGTAAGTGCGAACAGTCACTGTAAGAGTAGTTGTTAAAGGAGGATTACCTGTAATCCATAAAGGAATGTTTACAGCTTTCACTTGTTGAAGTGCAAGGGCTGGCATAGATTCATGAGTATCTACTCTAGTATTTAGCTCTCTACTGTTTCCTAACCTATAAGTTTCTGGAACCCAATTCAGGATTGTACCTGGAGTTGGCTCTTCTGTGGATTAGGCAAAAGCTAAATAATATTGTATAAATGCTGTGGTAAATTCAGAGAATTTATGCTCCTTGATAATCAGAATTTAATTGTGCAATCACCAAGTCTTTTTCCTTAAGAGGAACTAGGCTGTATAAATTGGATGGATGGATGGATTACTTTTGGTAGAGTGCACAAAGATGTCATTTAATGTTCAGTGAAATGTCAGCAGTTTTGTTTGATTTTTTGTTTGCGTATCAAGGGTAAACATAATTTTTCATTTCAGAGTCTTTCAACTGATTTCCTTGATGGATGCCCAGTTACCACGTTCTAGCAATGAGAAAGTAGAACTTGCAATACTCTGGTTTTTGGATCAGTTCCGTAAAACATATGTAGGAGATCAACTTCAACGCACATCAAAAGTAGGTGCTTTTCCTAGCTACTCCACCCCTTTATTTTAATCAGTCTGTTTAAAAATACGTGCATTGTAAAGCAGATTAGAAACATTAATCCTAGCCTGCATGTGCTTTTACACTCATGAAGAGTCCTGTTACTTTCAGAAGGAGATAATCTGTGTTTACAGAATGTGATTTAGTTCATTGAAAATAATATACAAGCTCTTTGGATGAAGGAGCATTTTGTAAGCACAGAAGCTGCCAATTCGTGGAACAGAATGCTGAGCTATTACGACTAGTCTGCGGATGTTTGAATGATGTTTTTTATCTTTGCAGTCAAGTTCATTTTGGTGTGCCGTATGTAAGGTTTTCATCAGTTGTATTCATTAAACAGTTTGAGATTTCATTACATTTTGTCTTTTATTTCAAGCATTTAAAAGGTTTGGTATATAGTATAATGTGTCACAGTTGGATATGCAAGATTTATTATTTTAATAGCTCTGTCTGTTTGACAGTTACTCATTTATGTGCTTTTTACTGTATCTCACACATTATTTGGCTTTTTCTGCATTTTAAACAGGAGGGGATAAGCAAGATACATTCTTTAAGAAAAGTGCCATTAATTCACTCTAACTTTAGGGGACACACATAATATGAAAAAGCTCATCAGATGTTTCTGAGAAACGCTGAAAGAATTTTGTTTGTGCTTCAAGCAAGCCTTTTTCAAACAAATCTTTAACAATTTATAAAATGCCTTTCTTTCTTTTTTTTTTTACTTATCCGCTATAGTAATCAGGCTTTCTGGCAGGCAGACCAGTTTGAAGACTTCTCTCCCTCTCGCCCCAGTTGCATGGACAATCATTTTCTTTGTGGGAAAAGAAAATAAATACAATAGTAGTAGTTAAACTGTTGAAATGAAGAAAAATGTAGGTTTCTTCAGTCTGATGGATGGTATTTTTATGGTGGGTTTTTTTTTGTGTGTATGATGGAATTATTTGAACATTAATCTGCAAACGATCCCCTATATGCCTGCTATGACTCTTTCGTGTCACTGGTGATAGTGGGATCCATTCTAGTTGGGTAGATTTTTGATCATTTGCAGAGCTGTCACTGTCCTATGTGATTGAAAAACTGTACAATATAAGAAAAGATGAATGACTGTTGCAAAGAGCTTCAGAAAACTTTTTCTATGTGGCTTCTTAACATCTTACAACCAAGATGTTAGAAGAGCTATGCTGGGTGAGAACAGAAGCTCCGTTCCAGAATCCTGTTCAAAGTAGGCAGCCAGACAAGCTTACCACAAGACATAAGGCCAGTTTGTATTGAGGTACCTAAACAGTTGACTTTCAGAAGCTCGGCTTGGTATTTTATGCTATAGTGTTCCTTATATGGATTAATATTGGATCATTATGTAAATAAGTTTAATATGAATTTTCAATGAAGCTGACAAAAAGCTCATTTATTATAAATCTAGCAAGGTGATTTAAATCTGGCATTCCAGAAATGGAATGAAATTATGAGGGGTGGCAATGAACAAACGTAGGACACAGCTTCTCTTCTATCGAAGTTCTAAATATTTTGAGTTTATTTTTTTTAATATACCAATATAATATTTTCATCCTATAGCTTAGTTGTCTGCTTGTCAACCAAGGATTTTTTTTTTTTAAAGGAAGTTACATCTCCATTTTTCCTTGTGCTGTAGCAGTATTTGTAGCAGCAGAGGGCATTATATCCCTACAGTAAACCCTCTTGCATAAATCACCTGCATACATTTACTCATATTGATTAGGATTTATCCTTGGAAGTAGGAATTTAAACTGATGTAAAAATGGATCTAGTAGTTAGGATAACAACCATTTATATGGCCCTTAGATATTTTAAATTTGCGGAAGGTTCCATTTATACCTTTCTTTTTTTGCAGCTGTGTTGGAATACTGTAGGGGATTAAATGAATTTAGGCATTTACAATAAAACTTCTCAGCGTGAGGGGTCCTCAGCTGTTTTCTGCTATTAGGTACATTTGGAATTTTGGGAACACGAATGCTCTTAAAATGGCTACTGTGGGCTTTGTTTATTCAGAAAATAGCAGGAGAATACAGTACATTTAACAAAATGCTAACTCACTAGAGTTCTACCTGATATCCCCCTAGTTTATAACTCACACAGAATAATATCTCCCACTTAACTTTAACCTGGCAGATGAGCATAGTGCTAAACAATGCAATGGGATCAACTGCCCATCATTTTTATTGGCTAAGAAAGCTGATGGATCCCATTTGGGGCATAGAAGCATTATTGAAGATAAATATGATGCTAGATGTTGAAACTTTGCTTTGCAACATGCCAGGTTCCATTTAAAAAACAAAAATTCTAAAAAATGGGATCTGGAGCCTGGTAGGTACCAAAGCAAGTATCTTGGACTTAATAGTGCCCATCTGTGCCATATTAGGGATCCTAAAGCCACCATATATGTTGTGTTGCAGTATAATTACCTATACTCCAAATTTCTGTTATTTAATGGCTGTAGGAAATGCTTAAATGCTTAAATTTATTGTTATACCATTCCAATTTTCAATGGAACCAACATATTTGGTTTTGTTTTCACTAAATCCCATTGTTCCCATTAGAGGTTCTGCCCAAATATGTAATGGGTATTGTGATCCTGCAATGCATATGCTTGATTCTTGAAATAGATCTTTAGTTTGTTAAAGTTCTGCATTTTATGCTGTCAAAACTATATATGCTTTTTATATATTTTATTTAATATAATTATATTCTCTAGAGGAAATAAAAGCAACAGGGAACTATTAGAAGCTGCTGTGGGAAATGTCTCCTTCTCTTCTATGTGCTACATATTGTATTGCCATGGTTTTTAACAATGTTTATGATACTGCATTTCAACATCATTGGCTCCCCAAGTAGTTTTTCCTGAAGAAGAGAAGGCAGGAATCAAATATATCCCATTGAATGGATTTCTGTGTTCAGTGCACTGAGTTTTTCCTTCCATTTAATTGCCTAATCTTTTATGCAGTGCATAAATGGGCAAGGTTACTAAAGAAATATTCTAGAATATTAACACTGGAGAGAAGATATTTACATTTGTCATTTTATAGTTGTAAGTTTATAAAATACCAATGATATGCAGCAATGAGCACTTTTAGTCCTTTGCATGTTAGTTTTATCTGTTACATCACTACCATATTGTTGAACTGAATGTAAAATAATTTTCTTGTACTAATGAGAAGTATTATTGTATATGTGTTAACCTTGCTGTAAATCTGGAAAAGGAGGGTAGATCACATTTTAATTAAATTTATGAAATAATTAACTATTAGCTAAGACCTGTTACTATCCAGCTACAATAGTCTTTAACTATAACTTCTTCGATCCTTCCCAGGTTGGTAAAATGAGGACCCAGATTGTTGGGGGGCCATATGCTGACTCTGTAAATCACTTAGAGAGGGCTGTAAAGCACTATGAAGCAGTATATACGTCTAAATGCTATTGCTATTCTTGTATGGTATGTGGGAATAACCTTGGGAGAAGGGGTAAAGAGATGCCCCTAGGGATAAGAGAGGGTATAGCTTGCAGCTGTATAATGGATGAAGCAAGACATTCAGAAGGAATCCACCCTAATTTTTCAAGTTGTGAAGGTGATAGCAGGGGAATCATACTTTCATACTTTTAATATTTTGTTAATATAGTTGTACAATAAAGTAGATTTGACTTATTAGGTTGATTTTCCTGTCTGGTCTACCTAGTAAAGCTGATACTTCTGCACTAGGCAAGTATTATGATCCAGCCATTATTCTAAAATTGTCAGGCTTCACAACAGGATTCAACAGTAAATCACAGTTTTCCAGTCACTTAATCTCTTTATGAAAGCACATGGCTTGACTTGGCAGAAGACTTTCAACATAACTAGATTAGGATCTTTGTTAGAGATAAAATTTAACGAGATGAGGCAGTCATGCAGTTTAGGTCAGCAATTTAAAAGTTATTATTACACCCTCTCATTTAGTGACTGTATCCTGATCCAGAAATTTTGCCATTAAGCGAAATGGTTGCTAAGTGAACACATGCCTAAGAAACATTGAAAGATTATTGGTTGCTGCTGTCTTGTTGAGATAAATTTATATCCTACTGTGTCTTGTGACTCGTCCTTTTTAACAACACTTTTTTTTTGCCCCCTCAAAAGGCAGAGTGTTTGCTCAAACAAGCTATCTCTTCCTGAGCTGGTTTTCTCAGCAGCACAAAGCTTCTATAAAAGGTGTTAATCACAGGTTAATAAGCTTAGCTCTGTGACCTTAATTAGTTCATTAGAACTCTTCTTTTATTGCCTGAAACTGACCAGACCTTAATCTGTTTCAAGTGAAAGCTTTTGTTGTCAGGTGCACAAAATTATATTGTAAATGCACACATTAGTCAAAAAAAAATATGAATTTTTATTACCATCATATTTGCAAAAGGTCGCTAACCGAGGTAGTCACTAAACAAGGAGTGGTTGTATTGTGTTACTAAATATCATTCTTGCCTTTGTTCTCCAGCAAGAAAAACAAATCTTTGGGTTTGGACTGATTACTAGGATGTCTTTAAATGGTGGCTTTTTGTTTTGTCACTTCTGATCTCCAAATCAGGACAGTGGTTCCCCAAATTAATGGAGGGTTTTCATTTAAGGTACTGAAAAGAGAGTGTTTTGGGAGAAAGTATCTTAGACTAGAGAGGAAATAGTGGGCTGGGTTCTCTAATCATCAGTAATTTAAAGGCAACTATAAAACTATCAGGCTTTGTTGGTGTGATTCACCTTGAGATGAGAATGTAAATGTAATTTACTCACTCTTGTTTTTCAAGGGTTTGTTGTATAGCAGAACTATACAACAAACAAATTAACCACACAGGTTGGTTACATCTAACATCTATATATTATTAAAACTTCTGTTTCTGCAACCTTTAACTGGATGAAACAGTGCAACAGTGAAATTTGAGAAAGCTGTGCTTGCTTCAGACTGCTTACATCCTGCTGTATT